AAGGCAGCGCGGCGGAGCCGTGCCGGGCCCTCCCCGGCTCCGCCGCTGCGCTCGCCTCGGTGAGGGGACGCGCGCTGCTCTCAGTAAAACTCTCCTTCCCCTCCTTTCTCCATCTTTCTTCCTAGGATTTTTTCCCCCGTCTCGAAAGCCCAGCAGAGGCACCCGCTGCACCGCCGGCCTGCGCCCGCCCCGGGAAGATGGGAAGCAAGGCTCTGCCGGCCCCCATCCCACTGCACCCGTCCCTGCAACTCACCAACTACTCCTTCCTCCAGGCTGTGAACACCTTCCCCGCAGCTGTGGACCAGTTGCAAGGTCTGTATGGACTCAGCGCCGTGCAAACCATGCACATGAACCACTGGACATTGGGCTACCCCAATGTGCATGAAATCACCCGCTCCACCATCACGGAGATGGCGGCCGCCCAGGGCTTGGTGGACTCCCGCTTCCCTTTCCCCACGCTCCCCTTCGCCACGCACCTCTTCCACCCCAAGCAAGGGGCCATCGCCCACGTCCTCCCAGCCTTGCACAAGGACAGGCCCCGCTTTGACTTTGCCAACCTGGCCGTGGCCGCCACGCAGGAGGACCCCCCCAAGGTGGGGGAGCTCGCCAAGCTGAGCCCCGGACTGGCGTCGCCCCTGTCGGCCATCAGCAAGCTGTCCCCAGACAGAAAGCCCTCCCGCGGCCGCCTGCCCTCCAAGACGAAAAAGGAGTTCATCTGCAAGTTCTGCGGCAGGCACTTCACCAAGTCCTACAACCTCCTCATCCACGAGCGGACCCACACGGACGAGCGGCCCTACACCTGCGACATCTGCCACAAGGCTTTCCGGAGGCAGGACCACCTGCGGGACCACCGGTGAGGGACCACCGCGCCCGGGGCCGGGGCGGGGGGGAGGCTGAGCCGCTCCGGGAGCCCGGGGCCGGGCCGGGAAGGCAGCAGGAGAAATCCCCGCTCCGACTGCGCGGCCGCGGAGGGGCCAGGGCAGCCAAAACCTGCGCTCTGCCTGCGACGGGCACCCGCGCTGGGGGGCCGGGGTGAAGCCCCGGGGCTGTTGTGCTCCTGAAGGGCGACCCTGGGGGTGCGGGGAGGAGGACGGGGCGCAGGTGGGCGCTCCCCGGCCGGCCCCCCGCCACCTCCGCACCCCGCGGCCGGGGCCGAGCGGCGCCCG